AAATTATTTTTAAAATAATAGTTATTTTAAAATTATATTACTTGAGATACTTATTTGTTCGATAATCTGTTGTTTGTTGATAATCTTAAAAATGATATTGTAATTACAATTGCTAAGTAGGATTTTACATACCATCTGTTAGGACAGCTTCGACAGACATATTTTGTTCCAGAGCGATGTTGCCAATGGTGGCAAATGAAAATATTCCAACGAGTAGGCTGCTGAACGCGTTTATAAGCGAAACAGCCACACTGTCCACTAAGATGGTGTTGTGGAATTTGTTGTAACTCGCGAAACATATCATTGAGCCAAATGCTATGCCCACTGAGTTGAATATTTGAGCGGCTGCGTTGATCCATACCTAAACATGATTGTTAAAAAGTTTTAAACTGAAGACACTTTCCGTTGCTTTTCAAAATAATTTGAAATACCAATTTTTCAATTATATTTACAAACAGTTAAAATTTATTTGTAATTTTTAAATTTTGTTTAATAATTTTCGGATCAATTGTTAAATTATTTTATTATCAAATTTTGGGATCTAATTTTTAAATTTTAAGTGGTGCAAATTTTTCAATTATTTTATTTTCAAATTTTGGGATCAAATCTTTGAATGGTGCAAACTTTTAAATTTGAAATTATGCAAATTTAAAAATTTGAAATTATGCAAATTGTTAAATTATTTTATTTCAAATTTTGGGATCAAATCTTTAACTTTTAAATGGTGCAAACTTTTAAATTTGAAATTATGCAAATTTAAAAATTTGAAATTATGCAAATTGTTAAATTCGAAATTGTGCAAATTTTTCAATTATTTTAATTCAAATTTTGGGATCAACATTTTCAATCGTAAATTGTGCAAAATGATTTCTTTCAAGTTTTACATTAACTATCCACTATATTTTTACGTTGTCGTTATTATTTATGTTCTTACGTTTCATTGCCCTGAAAAGCTGAATAACCAAATTTTTACATTACCTTCGCGTCGCTCAGCAGTTCCCAACGAGGGTGGAAGAAAAATTGCAAACCCTTGTCAGCACCTTCAAGGGTAAGGGACCGCGTAAGGAAGACGACGATTAAAATAAATGGTAGAGTTGCAGTCAGGTATCTCACTTTTGCCGATGATTTTATCGATTTCCAAACAGAGAAGTACACCATAATCCAGGCAGTAATTAAACAAGCAACGAGCTCCCATCTCAATGCTCCTGATGCTTCGATTCCTTCGCTAATCTGTAGTACTTTGTTGCTAAATTATCCAATTAAAAAAAAAAAAAAAAAAAAAAAAAGAAAAGAAAAAGAAGAAATAAATCTCTCGCAATTAACAACAAATTCTAATTAAATTTTAATTTAAATATTCTAATTGTATCTATGTTAAAAGTCTCTATGCATTGAACGAACTATTTCTGACTTATATGGACATTTATTTGAAGCTTTATTAAAATCTTCTCAAATGTACAATCGATAAATGATTTCATAACTGAAGAAATTACTCGAAAAATTCTTCGGATGGCGTTCTAGAAGCGTTTGGCCGTGTTCGATTGTCGATGGCGACATAAGTGGGTAACCAGCAGGCAAACGTATTCCACGAGTTATCGCAGGCGGACCACGGTTGCTTTGCTCTGAACGCCGCAAAGAAATAATATATGGCGTAGGCTATTATCACATTATGATAGGTCGACATCAAAAATGATATTACTACCGAAGACAAGCCAGCCCCTATTTCGAGAAACAAAATTTATGCCTTTATTCATTTCCAAAGAGAAACACAAATTTTCTTTTTTTTTGTTTTTTTTGTTTTTTTTTTGATCAGGAAAGTATCGATCATTTTTAAGAATGTTGAACAATTGAAAATTGAAAATAGGCATAGTCTTGTAAGGATATGCTAACTTACAAATATCACATTTTTCAATTCAATTTATTTTACATTTCTTGTAAATTTTATTGCGAATATTAGATACTAATTTTGTGCACAGTTAAAAAGATTCAAAAAGAAATTCTAATTTTAAATTTAATAAAATTCTATCCTGGGGAATATTTTCTGGTATAAACGAAAATTTTCAAAAGAACTGAAATTATTTATTCGATAAAATTCTATCCTGAGGAATAGTTTCTGACAAAAGTGAAAATTTCTTAAAATACAAGTGACACGTTGAGGAGTGAAATACATTTTAAACAGAGCAAAGTAAAATTTTTCAATATATAAATATTCAACTATTTTCCAACGTTTTAACGATCTACTCTCTGTTCTAAAACATAATTTTGAGCATAATTTTGTCATATAAATCGGCTAAATTGTTATTGAATAATATCGAGTAATAAACGATATCGATGTTTTACAAAATTTCAGCCTACCTTTAAACAAAGGACAAATTTGACCGAGAGCACCGATCGGTCCTCGTCGTGTGAATTGTCCAATACTAAGTTCCATGTACAATAACGGTACTCCGCATACAATAAGTATTAAGAAGTAAGGTATCAAGAACACACCTGAAAATTTCCATGAAAAGCAACATTTATAATTGCATGCTGTTAAAATCTTAAAAACAATTTCAATTCTATATCATGAACCTAACCTAAAAAGTTGTAATTCAGAAAAGTTACCGTTAGTTGAAAATTCAAAAAAAGAATCCCTGTATAATTCTCTCAATGAATAATTGTTTGAAATAAATCACTATTTACAATCAAACTTTTGTTTACCTTCGTTCACACAAAATTCCTTCATTCTAACCTAAAATTTCGTAAACGAGATTTCAAATTTGTGGAATAGAAAATCTCATAAAAAGCACGAAATAACAAATTTGACAAGTTTACCCAACAATTAAATTTGTTTCTTCACACTTTCGACAAATAATTTAGACTGGAAACAGGTTAAATCTTGAAAATTGATTTCAATTTGAAGTATCAATCTCATTTATTGATCTCAATTACACGCTTTAACTCACGAAAATGTCGGAATTCGTCGTTCTACACGGCGATTCAACGTCTCCTCGCATAATAAAGTTCCTCTCTTAATCCCTTTAACCCGCTCGACGAATAAAAACATTGTTACTAAATCTGCGTGTAATATGGATTTATTAAAGGTTGCATTAAACACGGCTCGTACGTAATAGTACTCGCCGTTAATCGTGATTCTGTGGGCAGTAACAAGGTCACTGGATGTAACTCTTTATTCGTAATAAACGATGATCACAGGTCTCGTGGATTATGACTTAATTTGGGAACGAGCATTTAGCCCGAGCAAATTACTCAAATGTATTTTCGTTATCCGCAACAGGCCGTTACACAGGTGTATATACATATACGCATATTCCACATTCTGCAGCTGCATTTATACGCATTATTTGCCGTATATCATTCTCGATACTTGTTAATTGGCTCTATAATTGATAACCGGCGTTACGCGGTTTTACAATCTCTGAAAATTCAGCAAACGTATTCGTTTCCTTCCATCGATAAATGTCGCGGTAGTTGCAAATGTACTTTTCTGTGTTAAACGTAATCGTTCAGGTCACGAGCAGTTATTTATGCGACAGATACAGAAGGTTAGAGATTACTGAATTGGCATTGAACAATGAACGATAATTTGTTGAAAAATCTCTTCAACGTGTTGTTCATAATTAACTCGATACTTTTTGCAAATTATTTACGCGACAGATACAGAAGGTTAGAGGTTACTGAATTGACATTGAACCACGAACGATAATTTGTTGAAAAATCTCTTCAACGTGTTGAACGTAATTAATTCAATTTTGTTTTATGAATTATTTATGAAGGTCGGAGATTACTGAATTGAACGATGGAAGAAAATTTTCTTCAAAAATCTCTTCCACATGTTGAACATAATATTTTCTGAAAATTATTTATATGACAGATTTAGAAAGTTAGAGATTACTAAATTAACATTGAACGATGAAAGAAAATTTTGTGCAAAAATTGCTGCCACATATTGTTCATAAAAGATTACTGAATTCACATTGAACGATGAAAGATAATTTGTTGAAAAATCTCTTCCACATATTGTTCATAATTCGCACAATTTTTTTCTATAAATTGTTTATGCGATAGATTCAGGAGATTTTGAATTATTAAATTGACATTGAACAATGTGACAGATTTGTTGAAAAATCTCTTCCATGTGTAATTCAAAATTAATACAATTTTTTCTATAATTTACTTATGCGATAGATACAGAAGGTTGAAGATTACTAAACTGATATTGAACGATTTGTTTAAAAATCTCTTCCATGTGTTCGTAATTAATTCTATATTTTCTACAAATTACTTACGACGGTTAAAGATTACTAAATTGACATTGAACTATGAAAGATAATTTGTTGAAAAATCTGTTCACAATTCACACAATGTTTTCTATAAATTCTTTATATGATAGACTCAGGAGGTTGAAGATTACTAAATCGGCATCGAACGATTTCTTCAAAAATCTCTTCCACATATTCCTCACAATTAATCCAACTTTTTCTACAAATTCTTTTTCTTGTCTCGTCTTACATTTTTTTTTTTTTACGTTGATTTTCATTCTTTGCTTATTGCGTTAAACGAGAAATTTGTAACGAGCTCGTTACAGAAATTCGATTACGTTTTTTAGATGCTACAAGAATTATTGCTTCCGGTAGTGCCATTGGAATAATTCGTGCCGCGTCAGTGCGCCTCACGCACATGTCGATTAATTCTACGAATGTTACGTCGTGCTTGTCGAACGAATCAGACAACATTCCCTGATTTGGCTTTACGGTACACGCTGCAACTTCATTGCCGTATCATTTTAATAACGCTTTTCACCGTATTTTCCGTTAGAATCTCGTACAAAAATTTCTAATTCTATTTTCTGGCGATCGATTAATTGTACGTACTTGTAAACGTAATTTCAAAGAAACTGTTTTCGAGTTTTCATTCTCTCCTTCCAGCACGAACTTTCCCTCGAAAACGTGTACAAACACCACACGTTTCGTATAAATTAGGCCAGGCTCCATCTTGCGTTCTGATCAATGTAAAATTCTTCGTTTTAGGCAACTGAGACGTATAATTTACAATTTTTTTTTTTTTTAGAACGTATTTCAGTGATTTACAAAATTTATTATTTTTAAAATTAAGGAATGCGTGCATAGTTTTTCGTTCACTGTTAACACGTGTACACTGCTATTCGTAAATATTAGGACACCCGTTATGTTCATACAGAAAGTGTCGTATGACATAAATTACAATTTTTCGTTGGATTTAATAATGGATATCGATAGAAATTTATATTAGAAATATTTGCAAATTTTTGTACTCGTTGTATTATGAAATTCCAAGCTGAATAATTTTTTTTAAGATTTGAATAACTTTGTAACGATACAATGAATATGAACGGAAGTGTGTATCGCGAGATTTTCAAATGCGTCGTAAAAACAGGCAGATTCTATCAAAGAGGAAATAACGACAATGAATTGTTCTTATTTTGAATGCACGATGTAAGGGCCAAAGTACTTTAATTTGATTTTCGATATCCTTTCTAACTTTCCAACCAATCAATTCAACCTAACCTCTCCTTAACTTAATTGTCGTCGTTATTAATCTGATTATCTAATCAACTTCTATACTTCAAGGCGAAAGTCGAGATTAATTTTTCGTTATTAAAAGGGGGAATAAACGATCGATTTAAATTATCATCTTTTTAAGGGAATAACAACAGCTTTGGTTAAAACCAAATAATCGCCATATTTATGTAGGAACCAACGGAAAAATATTGACGGACCAACAACGGGGAATCGAACCCGGGACCTTCGGCTTAGCAAGCCGAGGCTTTGCGCGCTACGCCAACCACTCCCTCTCTATTCTCCTTTCGAGGTTTCCTATTTGGGTATGGAGGCCCCGATACTACACTCGGCCATCCCTGAACTGACATTCGCCCTTGAATGTCCTCAGCGCAACCACAACTCCTCAACTCAACACTTTCGGGTACACTCCCCCACACAGTGGCACTCTCAGCCGAAACTCTGTTTCTCAACTCTTTTGGGAGACGTGCACCCTTTCACATGTTTTCATCTCATAGCGCCTGGCTTCCTGCAGCCGTAGATACCTCCGTCCCGGACGAGCCCCCATTTGTAGGAACCTAGGGAAAAATATTGAGGGACCCAACGGGAATCGAACCCGGGACCTTCGGCTTAGCAAGCCGAGGCTTTGCGCGCTACGCCAACCACTCCCTCTCTATTGTCCTTTCGAGGTTTCGTATTTGGGTATGGAGGCCCCGATACTACATTTATATTTCTAATTTTTTTCTATAGAACAGCTGTTCTCACCTTTTCTTTTAACCATGTGCAATTTAAATTCAAGTTACTATTTCGGTAAATAAATTGAAAAATAAGCACTGCAATTATTTCTTAATTTAAACACAAGAGAAATGAAACAGTTAATTACGAATCAATTTTGAAAAATCTTTTTCAGTAACTTCGTTGAATGAAAAATTCGTTTGTGTTTTTATACATATACTATTTAATTTGCAATTTTAGGTTATGTCATTTGTACCAATTAGTGAAGTTTTTCAAGTAGCGAAATCGATCGCAGAAAAAATTGAGTCAGTGATTGAATTGAAATCAGCGATTTCATGAAATGAAGAATTCGTTCACATTTTTATACCATTTAATTTTCAAGTTTAAGTTATATCATTTGCACCAATTAGCGAAATCGATCGCAGAAAAAATTGGTTACTACAATTTAAATACCAGAAAAATGAAACTATTAACTAAAAATCCATTTTGAACAAACTTTTTCAGTGAAGAAATTCGTTCACATTTTTATACTATTTTATTTCCAATTTTAAATTATCTCATTTGTATCAAGGGGGTAATTCTGGTCTAGAAGTGTCAAAAAATCGACTTTGCGATTTTTACATTTTTCGAATGTTTGTAGTCTTGAAAATATATTCCCCGAGTGTTTTTTTTTTTAAATTCAGAAAAATAACGAAGTTATAGAGGTTTAAAAGAAACTATGCGCGGATTATCGCGTTATACTCTGTTCAAAATGAGAGTAACCTCGCTTCGCGCATGGGACGCGCCTAAGGCAGGGCTAGAACCACTAGAAGGTCCAAACCCCCACTTAACCGCCTACGTTTTTCTCCGTCTTACGCTCTCTGCCTATGCGCAGAACGGACGAGAATCGGGTCCGAGAGCGAGGTTACTCTAATTTTGAACGATGTATAGCTGAATAGCTACCGCGCCAGGTAAGTTAAGAAACACACGACAAATAGCCTCTAGATGAACAAATCTTACTAATAATAAAGCTGATTTATAAACATTTGACCTCACATGACTTATTGGCGAAATGTGCGAGAGCTAACACGAAAAATAGTAAAGTCTCAATTTTCTAATATGGAATTTTATTCCGAAGCACAAATCAACGACAACGATTCAAATTGCAACATTTCTGACTGTTTGCATATTTCATAGAGGAATTAGCTTTCTTTTAGAAATGAACGCCCCTATGGGAATCAAAATTTGTCCCCAGAACAAAGAAATTTATCGGTCTATCAATCTAACGATGACGAATTCCAAATAATTTCCAATTTTAAGTTGTCATTTGTACCAATTAGCGAAATTGATTACTAAAGTCATCTCTTAATTTAAACCCCTCAAAAAAAAAGAAAAAAAAAATGAAACGATTACCTAAAAATCCGTTTTGAACAATCTTTTTCAGAAAAATTCGTTCACACTTTTGTACTATCTAATTTCCAATTTTAAGTTATGTCACTTGTACCAATTAGCGAAGTTTTTCAAGCAGCGAAATCGGTCGCAGTTTGTTATTGAGGGAGCGTGTTAGTTGGCCATGCTGAAATCAGACCGTGCTACCCGTTCTGGTTTTCCGGCCGACCAATTTAGCAAACGGTTGGTCGAAATGATACTCGACCGATTATTTCCACCGGTATCATTGAAATCATTTGTGATGCACGCTGGTCTAGCTGCGTTCCGGCAAGGTCATGTATCAAGTTCCGTGAGCGGATTGCGCCACGTCCGGACTCCGTTGAGATACTCTCAGACTTTGAAAATTACCGGCAACACGATACGCACTTATGTTACAGCCTACCGAACCAGGAGAATATGTGCCCTCGTTCTGAATATATCTGCTAAGATGTCTTGCAAAAGGAGACGTCGCAAAAAGAAATGCGCGTGAAACACCATGACATGCAACGTTCGAAACACACGAGGACGTGTTTCTGTGGATTTTTTTTATTTTAAGTCTTGAAAGTTCATTTTTAATGTGAAAATATGGTTAAAATTGGATGTCGATCGGTTTTTTTAAGTATCAGGGTTTCAAATCTAAATTTTGCTAATGATCTTTTATTTTGAATTGAAATTCCATGGTATGTAATATATTTTTGTTGAACTATTATGATTTTCTTTATTTTAAGTTTTGAAAGTTCATTTTTAATGTGAAAATATGATTAAAATTTAAAGTATCACATTTTTTAATCTAAATCTTGATAGTGGTCTTTTACTTTAAATTGAAAAAGCAGTTTTCAAGATTGAAAGATAGTTGTTCCAGGTTTAAGATTGTCCAATATGCTGTATTTGATAAAGTAAACAATTTGATATAGTAGTAACTCCAGAAATTAGAATGAGTTACAACTGCTCTGTATCTTAAAACAAAAGTAGTAAATATTTCTTGAAACAAAAAAATTACATTACTAAAAAAGGAATATTATTTTATAATGTTACTGTCTGGTGAACTGTCATGCTGCAGTTCCCTGTACAGCAATTAATTCACAGAACAATATGCTTTTTTCATAATAAATCAGTAAATAATATCAGTAAGTCATAAATTTTCCATAATAAATCAGTAGATAATATAAAAGTAAATTATGAATTCTCCACGATAAATGCAAGTTTAAACATTATACCAGATATCTTCCTTATTTCAATAAACACTGAAATACTTGATACGAGTTTCAAGAAAAATCCATGATACCTTTATGATCATGACATAAAGCTTACAATGTTTCATGCACCATTACGCTTCGTTACACGTAACATTTCTCTGAAAAGTAAAAGCTGTGTCGCAGGAAAACACTTCCGGTTAAGTAATTTCCTCGTTTCCCAAACAGAATTTTTCTTTTCATTCAAGAGATACCTATAGTAACAATTTTGAGAGAGCCAACGATTATACACCTGAAACGAGCCACTCAGAATCCAAAATTGACCAACTCCGTGAAATAAAGTTTACTAAATTTCGTGAAATAAAGTTTACCAAATTTTTTCAAATGAAATTTACCAAATTTTGTTTCATCGACGAAGAATTATGCACCGAACACGTGCTCCGGTGCTAAAATTAGAAAAATACGAAAAAGTGGAGTTAATCATTTTGGCTTTGAAGTGGCTCAAATATAGTTCCGAAGAATCATACTCTGGAACATTTGTTTTCGAACTGTTCTTCTTTCCGCAGTTGTGAGTTCGTTTTACGTGTGATATGCGTTTTACACCGATGATGCAAAGAATAAACACGTACTCTTATCACAGGCGCACTAATTGTAACAGACAACAGATGTATGTGTGCCACTGTGACAATCTAGCACGTACAAATTTGTTTTGAACCATATGCTACAAGTATTGTCGCGAAAAGATACAAAAACCGAAGTCTACTGTTTACGTGATTACGAGAAAATCGTAATAGGAATATTATACAGGGTACACCTGGTAATCGGACCGAGTTGTAACTCGATTGTTATTGAAAATAGAAAAAAATTGTAGATTTGTCTATAAAATTGCAGAAGTTAATCTGACACTGAGTGAAATCAGTCAGATGAGAAAATATATGATACTTTTGTTAAATTTTTCTTTTTAGAAAAATATATTTTCAATAAATAAAAATTTGA